CAACATTCACAAACATCATTCACTAAAGCATAATATTATTAATTCATATTTTCTGACATAATTTTTAGCCCTTTCCTTTATAACTAAACCTACTCCTTCACATGCATGCATGTATTTATTAAAGTCGTTCCACACACAGGATCCATTCATCTTCATTCAGATCTATTAGATCCCTTCCCATTCCTCTTAGTTTCAGAGCCACACAACATTTATATTTTGTTTTATTTCATTTGTTAATTCATGCTCTTCACCAGTGTTTTCTCTTACATTCCAAGTTACAGTCTTCTGTTGTCACCAGATGGACTTCAACTGCCCATAATGGCTTTAATCAATCAAGGTTTTTACAGAATGCTTTTTAATAACCCAGTGAAAATGTAAACTAATTTAATAGCCTTAGCTGTACTAGTGCCACATACAGCAGTTCCTGCTAAAAATAAGAACAGTACCAATCAATTTGGATACATTTTGGCTAGCATGCCAGAAGTGCAATCAAAGCTCAATATTTCTCCAGGAATACCCAGGCAATTCTATGCAAAGGAGGAACTCTAGTCTTGAGACGACCTTGCAAGCCAACTCATTGTCTGCATCCTGTGGTAATATAGTATACTGATTTATTACAGATATGTTTTAGAAAGGAGAAAACATCATGGGACATAATCTATATTCAGTCTGAATTAAAGTTCTATGTCATTTTAAATGAAATTGAGTCTCATTTGGATTTTGCATTGGCCCTACCGAATACTTTTTGTGGGGCAGCCACCACCATACAATTCAATGGCTAAACACTCAAAATGTTATATATCCCACCTTGTATTTATTTAGTTAGTTTGTCAAAGATGTGGATTCGACCGGAAGCATCACGGCGAGACAGTCGGGGATTAGCAGGCTCTGATGAGCCCCGTGAAATCCTGGGCTGACGAACCACTGCAGGGGGTCTTTGGACCAGATCTGTCCTGCAGGGACAGAGAAGAAAGAGAGGCACCTTGGAAGACCAAGAGGAACAGGAAAGTTCCTCGGAGGTCGAAGGTTTTTCTCTCTGACTTAATGGGGGGGGGGGCAGCGGCCATTACGATCACCAGTAAACTGGGGCAACCAGATTAAGCAATGGGCAGGAGCGGAGAATTGAACAGAATATTGAAGCCGGGTGAGTGATATTTAACTCATAGGCAGAAAGAAAGAAAAAAAAGACTTTTAAAATAACTGTAAAGTCATGGAGCTATAATAGCGGCTAATAGGCATGAAAGACGGAAGAAGAAGATTAAGGCGGAAGTTATAAAGTGATAAAATCCAACTAGAAATTTGTTTTGGATTTAAGTAATTGGAGAACTTAAAAAAAATTAGAAGAATTAAGAACCCGAAAAGATTCTTTTTTAAAGAGAGGAAGATTAAAAGAATAAAGAAAAATTTGTAATTGAAGGACTAGCTAATGACTTTAAACTGAAACTAAATTGGAATGCAATGTGCAATTTGGACTATGTATATTTGGACTGAATTTTAAATTATTTTGGTGCATATAAAGATGAAAAAGAAGAAAGGGGGGAAAAAAGTCAAACAAGCTAAAACTGTTACAGTGAATTGCAACTAAAATGGATGCCTTTCAAGTTTCTTACTTGTAACTACTTGTAATTGTAGATTGTAGAGAACCATCTTCAGGAGGAAAAAATTATTACATCACTGAATTTTTTGTTTTGGAAAAAGAAAGGGAAAAAACTTGGACTTTGAAAGGGATAACAGCATGTAAGAAAGTTCAAGGAGGATTTGTTTGTTCACAAGTGTTTTGGCTTGGAGAAAACAGAAAAAAAAGAGAACTTTAACGTAACTTCAATTGGAACAATATCAACTTAAAAAGAACAAAATGGTGCAGGAACTGAAGGAAATGATGATAACGATGTACTTTTCATTGAAAACTGAAATAAGGGAAATGGAAATGACTAAAATGATGCATGGAAAATTGAAACTTGATGATCAGAAAATTGACTTAGGATATACTCAAGCTGAAAAAGAAACAACAAATGAGAAGCAAGAAAAAGAGACTGATAATAAAGAAGAAGACAAAGACAAGGAGACTGATTATGGAAAATTAAATGATTATTTGGGTAGCAATAATAAAAAGGAGAACTTTAAAAATTACATGGGGCTTAATGATGGAAAAAATAGAAAAAGGGAAAAGAAACAACAAAAAGAAAAGAGGGTGAAATAGAAAGAATATAAAAAACTTAAATGATTACACTGGGATTGTCAGTGAGAAAATAAGAAAAAAGGGAAAGGGATGGAAAATAATGGGAAAGATACAGCAAAATAAAAGAGTTTATGGTTTTAAAAAACAAAATCATTATGGGACTAACAGTGGAAAGATAAGAAAAAGGGAAAGGAGAGTTCAGGATTTTAAAATACAAAAAAGAAGAAGGGGAAAGAGAAAAATAAAATAAAATATAAAGATGGGAAGGGAGAAAGAAATGGAAGAGGAATATGGGGTAAAGGAAATGACTACTAGGGTATTGGATTATGGATTAATTAGATATATTTAACTGGTCCTTATAAAATGTTATAAAAAGGCTGAAGTGTATTATTTGGAATAGTTGATAAAGAAAAAACTATTTGAGATTGGAATAAAAGAATTTAAGAAAATAGTTGGGAATTGTATTGTTATTTGAATTTAAAATTAGGGGCATTGGAGTAAAATTGATATTAAATTGATTCTTTAACTAATTAGTGAAACTATGATGTCTGGAATATAAGAGACAGAAGTATAAATAATTGATGTAGTAATAGAATGGTAAATAATAAACCATTTAAGTTAATATGAAGAAATGAACTGTATCTTTAAGGAAGTGAGTATAAAATATATGGATGAATGATGAATGTAAGAATTGGAATATTTTTAATTAATGAAGGGTACTGTAACAAATGGAATATTTTTAATTATATATTTGGAACTTAACTAAATAAGAAAAGAAAGTTGAAATGATATTGGATTATGAACTACTTAGATACATTTAATTCATCTCTATAAAAATGTTGAAATCTACTATTTGGAATAATTAGTAAAGAAAAAACTATTTGAGATTGGAATGAGAGAATTTAAGAAAATAATTGGGAATTGTATTATGTTATATGAATTTAAATATGGGGTATTGAAGTAAGATTGATATTTAATTGATTTTTTTCTTTATTGAATATGTTTAACTGTTGAAATGTATTATTTGGAATAGTTGATAAAAGAATTATTGGTGAGTAGAATAAGAGAATTTAAGGAAATAATTGGGGATTGTATTATGTTCTGTGAATTTAAATTTAGGGGCTCAGATTTTACGGAGGGAAAAGAAAAAAGGAATTATACTAGCATGAGACATCAAGATGAAGTGTAATATTGGTTCTTTAAATTTAGAGAAAATAAAAGATATGAAAAAAAATTGAATATATAAAATTGTGTTAAAGATGAACAAAAATCTGTACAAATTTAAAACCGGGCCAATATTCTGTTCAGAAAAGATGCATTGTATGTTTGCTTGTGTGTTTTAAAAAATAAAAAAACTTTACAAAAAAAAAGTTTGTCAAGCATGTATGAGAAAACAAGTATAAATATGGACACAACATATAAGTATAAACAGGTGTAAGCATATACATCATAAATGAGTATGAATAAATGGGAACAGTAGGACAGGGACGGTAGGCACACTGGTGCACTTATGCAAGCCCCATTACAGACCTCTTAGGAATGGAGTGAGGTCCACAGTGGACAGTTTAAGGTTTAATTTTTCGGTGTTTGAGGATATAACATCAGAGTCAGGAAGTGCATTCCAGGCATTGACCACTCTGTTGCTGAAGTCATATTTTTAGCAATCGAGTTTGGAGCAGTTCACTTTGAGTTTGTATCTATTGTTTGCCCGTGTATTATTGCAGTTGAAGCTGAAGTACTCATTGACAGGTAGGATGTTGTAGCAGACAATTTTGTGTACTAAGCTTAGGTCAGACCATAGGTGGCGTAGTTATAGGTTGTCCAGGTCCAAAATTTCAAGCCTGGTGGTATAAGGTTTATGGTGGCATCTGCATGGAGGAGAAAGTGGAAAGTGGTACATAGACAGGAAAGTGATACATAGACTTGGGGGGGGGAGGGCAAAAAGCCCTACTAAGCAGGTATATACAAAAGTATGAAGGCTATTGCTTAATGCATTGTAAGCTGCCCTGAGTCTCCGGAAAAGGGCGGCATATAAATCGAACCAATAAATAAATAAATAAATAGATAGTCCAGAACTGCATAGAGCAGGGATCCTCCTAGTGTATACGCTACTTCATATTTGAAGCAGATAAAGTTGGAGTACCATGCATAGAATCACAGGCATATATAATTGTAAATGATAATTAATTATAAGTAGCGATAAGGAAACTTATTCTGTTTATGGAAAGCCTCATTTGGGGGATATCTTGTTATTGCACAAAATGTGTCTTGGGAAAATGTGCCTCCTTTGGCATACAACCCCTTCCTATTTAGATATTTTCTGAACACCAGTTCGGAGGCAACAGCATCATTTCGACACATATTTTCTCTGTGGCAACTTTTTTTCTCTAATGATTGAGTTTTCCTCTTCTCCATTTCACTTTCTTTCTTTGTTGCATTTTTCATTTTTATTGCATTGCCTTGAGGCCAATCTCTGCCGCCTTGGGATATATAGCTTCAAAAGTTTTTTTTTTCTTAGCCAAGTGTTTTAACCTACAGCAGTAAAACTACCCTAAGTGATGGATATTTTCAGTTTTGTGGAAGATGACATATCTTGCAGTCTTGCAACACTGCCAGGCAATCAACAGCCCAAACCAGCAGCATTTATATTTGAAAGGAGATAGTAATACTGACCCTCAAGGAGTGACATACATAAGTCCCATTTTCACCTGTTTGTTCCAAGCTGGTTCTACCTAGGACTTTTCTGACCTTGGCCTAAATCCTAAAATGCAACAAGATTACCATGGTCTAAGACTAGTGGTGGGATTCAGCCGGTTCAGGCCAATTCGGGCAAACAGGTAGCTAAATTGATGGCTGGCTCCACCTCCTGCCCCTTCCAGGAGTCCCCATGTGCCCCATTTTGACTCCCAGGTAAGTGCAGGGAGGCCTCCTAGGCCAAAATGGGGCACTGGGGGGGGGATGCGGCATGCTCCCCCCATGGCCCATTTTTACTCCCAGGAAGCCTCTTAGGCCCAAAATGGGATGCGGGGGTAGATGCAGTATCTCCCTGTGGCCTGTTTTCACTCCCAGGAGGCTTCAGGGAGGCTTCCTAGGCCCAAAATGGGGCACAGAGGGCCCCAGCACATCCCCCCGGCCCGTTTTTACTCCCAGGGAGGTGCAGGAGGCTGAATGCTGCCTGTCACATCCCCTGGCCACACCCACCATGGCCATGCCCATCCAGCCGGTCGTTAGGGCAGAGAACTGGTTGTTAAATTATTTGAATCCCACCACTGTCTAAGACCAATCTGAAAGTCCACCCTTGGAGGTTCTTCTCGATCCTACTATTGTAGCTTCTCATACTGAACATAAAACTGAGCTTTCAGTAAAATCTTGATTTTTGCAAACCATTTTGGGGTGGGATGTCCGTTCACTTGAAATGTCCATTGTATCCAAAACATACTTTTGTGTGTTTGTAATAAGGCCTGTATTTGAGAACCAGTTTGGTATAAGGCACCAGGCTAGAAACTGGGAGAATACGAGTTTTAACCCTGCCTTGAGCATAACACCAACTGGGTGACATACGATATTTCTCTATATTAGCCCTTCTCCATTGCCAAGTTACACTTGCTTTTAGGACATGAGACCCAATCACCTAAATTACATTTTGGTGTAGCACAATAAATAAGTAATTCTAAATCAGTTGATAAATTAACCTTATGCTAAAATTTCTGAATAGATGAAATTCAGATTTTATTTCCCTGAAGAACCTCTTATTTACATAAGGACAGAATTGGTAAAAACTAGACTGAGTCTTTATAATTCCAGCAAGGTTGTTTAAGAAAGTGGGTTTAACGCATAGATAATTTCTTATTTGCAGGTTAGACTCAGGACTTTGAAGACGGAACCTTTTTCTTGACTGGGTAATACAACTATCAATCTTCTGAAAGAAGCTGATTTTCATTTACCAACTATTAAACTGATAAGAGTGAAAAGAAAAGTACAAGGGAAGAGAAAAGAAAATGAAAGTGTCTGACTTTCAACAGGAGACCAAGATGATCTCTCTCCAACTACTTACTCTGCAATGAACATGTGCTGAAGCTTGAGAGCTTATTTAAGGAGATAATATGCAAGTCATTTAGCTAAGTTGCTAAATTGATTTTATTTGGAGTTCTTTCAGTGTGATTGTTATCTCTGCTTGTTCTTTCATTTCCCTTTTGTCAATAAACTTGTGTTTGGCTGAGTTTGTTTTGTGTGAGACTTATTAAAACTTTTCCCCACATGCATAACTCTAGAACTGTATAGCTGTCCTGGTGTTTCAGACTAGCCCAACATCGCCCAATAAAGTTCAGTATTTTTTTTTAATTTGGGGCAGTAAGACTTCCTTTCTATTTTTGGGAGAAGCCTTGGGTAGAAGGACTAGGAAATTCTAGCTGGACAGCCAATGTCTGTGTGTCAGGTTCAGCCTGACTGGTGGCACCTATAATGCAATGACTCTGTTTTATTGATACATCTTTAAAAGATAGAATCTGCCAGAGATTTCTAAAGTATCCCATATCTCCCAGATTTTAAGATCACGATAATAATACCTTCAGCGCAGTGGTGGGTTTTTACCGGTTCACCCCGGTTCGGGCAAATCGGTAGTGGCGGCGGCAGCAGACTCCATCCACCCACCTGGACGTCATCATGGACGCTCTGCGCATGCGCAGAAGGTTCTGCGCATGCACAAAAGCACCACACGCATGTGCGCTCACAGTTCCAAACCGGTAGCGAAGGTAAGTGGAACCCACTACTGCACCAGAGCCTTGCAATGCCTACAAGTAAGATGGCATGACTGTGGTTCTTCCAGCATTGGTTCTGTTAAGAACTCCTCTTATATTGCAAAGTTATCTACTTGCAAAGCTCTGCAGGTAATTCAGTCAATGTCATTTCTTGATACCAATTGTTTCAGTGAATGTATAGCTACTAATCAATGACTCCTATTAGGGAGCCCAGTAATGTTGTCTAGGGATTTGGGGAGCTCAGATCCAACACATCTGGGAGGGATCAAGAAGGAGAAAGTTTAGCTAACTGAATACTGCCTACTATCATTGTCAGCAGCTCTTTATGGATTCATATAGCAATTTTCTCCCAGCCTGCATGACCCTCTCATAATATATTTGAGCAGGGTATTGATATAAATGAGCAGAGCTGTAGATAATGCAGACCACTTTCTTCCTGATGTTTGTATTCTGCCTTATGGAATATAACTTTCCTTCTAAATTGCCTGATCTAAGGGATATGTTCTATTACTTTACAACAACAACTCCTTTCCCATACCAATTGTAAACATTCATCATAAAACCTGCAGCCAACGAAGAAGTAGACTTCTCTCAGTTTAAGAGGCCCTTGCTTTCGGAGACTTTTAACATTTAATTAGCTGAAAATTGTCCCTATTCATGATGGATATTACAAGCAAATTGCTGTTTTTCAAGGTGGCACAAAAGGCCAGGTGGAGGAGAAAAATTAAATATGTATTTCCTATAAAATTGTAATTGCTGCCAAATTTTATCACCAGAACAATATGCGTATTCTATCCACTGCTGTCATATTACCATATTTTTGCTTATTGCCCTGTAGGATAAACACTCCCCGGTGTTGTTAGAGATATCTGTGCTTGAGTGTATGTGCATACTGAAGTGTACGTGCCTCCAGATGTTTAAAATCTTAGATGTTCTCTATTTCTTGCTTTTCTTTTCCCCTCAGAAAAGAATATTCTTTGTTTCTCTTGCATTTGTCCCTGCAACAAGACAGTCTGTTGGATGTAAAGGATCTGGGTTCTATCTTTTTCTTATTCAGGAGCCAAAACAATGATAAGAGTCTTGAAATGTAATAGAATCCCATTTGTGGCGGGCAGTTCTAGGAAAGAGGGGATACTAGAGATTTAGAACAGTGTAAAAATGGAGCAGGTGTTACGTTTCACCTGATTGTATGCATGTGTGCACAGGAACAAATCCAAAGTAAACAGAAGCAGATTCAAAGCACTGTCGTTCTGGCCACGAACAGCAGCATTTGCTGCAGATGCTCAGCTCTAATACTAAAGCTGTTTCTTGAGGCAAACCAATATCTCACTCCTTTTTTCGAGACTTCAGATAAGCATATGCTGATTGTTCGGTTGCAGAGTGACTTTGCTTGTCTATTAATTAGATTTAATTGTTAAATGACTGCTTTGAACAACAGAGCAGCTCGCTAACTCCAAAGCTATACAGTGCAGTCCAACGTGGGGCAAGGGCAGTTATCCTCCCACCAAGAGCCCTGCTGATTTGCTCTGAACAGGGCCCATACAATGTTCATCTCTTAAGTGGCCTTTACAAAAGGTGGTTCTCTCTCTAAAGAGTCATATAGCTGTCAGAGAAGAAAACAGGGTGGGTTAGTTGCCCCTCAGCCAGAAAATCAAGGGCAGACTAAGGAGGGATACAAATTGCTTGGCCTCTGTCTTGGCTTTCTGCAGACAGTGAGTTGCTTTGTGTTTCTATTTAAATCAATTTACTTTCAAAGTGTGCATCCTTTCTTTAAGTTAACATATGCTCGCAGTGGGCAAACTGATGTGTTTTTTAATCAACCTTTTTGGAAAACTTCTTTCTTTCCTTCCTTCCTTCCTTCCTTCCTTCCTTCCTTCCTTCCTTCCTTCCTCCAACTACTTACTCTGCAATGAACATGTGCTGAAGCTTGAGAGCTTATTTAAGGAGATAATATGCAAGTCATTTAGCTAAGTTGCTAAATTGATTTTATTTGGAGTTCTTTCAGTGTGATTGTTATCTCTGCTTGTTCTTTCATTTCCCTTTTGTCAATAAACTTGTGTTTGGCTGAGTTTGTTTTGTGTGAGACTTATTAAAACTTTTCCCCACATGCATAACTCTAGAACTGTATAGCTGTCCTGGTGTTTCAGACTAGCCCAACATCGCCCAATAAAGTTCAGTATTTTTTTTTAATTTGGGGCAGTAAGACTTCCTTTCTATTTTTGGGAGAAGCCTTGGGTAGAAGGACTAGGAAATTCTAGCTGGACAGCCAATGTCTGTGTGTCAGGTTCAGCCTGACTGGTGGCACCTATAATGCAATGACTCTGTTTTATTGATACATCTTTAAAAGATAGAATCTGCCAGAGATTTCTAAAGTATCCCATATCTCCCAGATTTTAAGATCACGATAATAATACCTTCAGCGCAGTGGTGGGTTTTTACCGGTTCACCCCGGTTCGGGCAAATCGGTAGTGGCGGCGGCAGCAGACTCCATCCACCCACCTGGACGTCATCATGGACGCTCTGCGCATGCGCAGAAGGTTCTGCGCATGCACAAAAGCACCACACGCATGTGCGCTCACAGTTCCAAACCGGTAGCGAAGGTAAGTGGAACCCACTACTGCACCAGAGCCTTGCAATGCCTACAAGTAAGATGGCATGACTGTGGTTCTTCCAGCATTGGTTCTGTTAAGAACTCCTCTTATATTGCAAAGTTATCTACTTGCAAAGCTCTGCAGGTAATTCAGTCAATGTCATTTCTTGATACCAATTGTTTCAGTGAATGTATAGCTACTAATCAATGACTCCTATTAGGGAGCCCAGTAATGTTGTCTAGGGATTTGGGGAGCTCAGATCCAACACATCTGGGAGGGATCAAGAAGGAGAAAGTTTAGCTAACTGAATACTGCCTACTATCATTGTCAGCAGCTCTTTATGGATTCATATAGCAATTTTCTCCCAGCCTGCATGACCCTCTCATAATATATTTGAGCAGGGTATTGATATAAATGAGCAGAGCTGTAGATAATGCAGACCACTTTCTTCCTGATGTTTGTATTCTGCCTTATGGAATATAACTTTCCTTCTAAATTGCCTGATCTAAGGGATATGTTCTATTACTTTACAACAACAACTCCTTTCCCATACCAATTGTAAACATTCATCATAAAACCTGCAGCCAACGAAGAAGTAGACTTCTCTCAGTTTAAGAGGCCCTTGCTTTCGGAGACTTTTAACATTTAATTAGCTGAAAATTGTCCCTATTCATGATGGATATTACAAGCAAATTGCTGTTTTTCAAGGTGGCACAAAAGGCCAGGTGGAGGAGAAAAATTAAATATGTATTTCCTATAAAATTGTAATTGCTGCCAAATTTTATCACCAGAACAATATGCGTATTCTATCCACTGCTGTCATATTACCATATTTTTGCTTATTGCCCTGTAGGATAAACACTCCCGGTGTTGTTAGAGATATCTGTGCTTGAGTGTATGTGCATACTGAAGTGTACGTGCCTCCAGATGTTTAAAATCTTAGATGTTCTCTATTTCTTGCTTTTCTTTTCCCCTCAGAAAAGAATATTCTTTGTTTCTCTTGCATTTGTCCCTGCAACAAGACAGTCTGTTGGATGTAAAGGATCTGGGTTCTATCTTTTTCTTATTCAGGAGCCAAAACAATGATAAGAGTCTTGAAATGTAATAGAATCCCATTTGTGGCGGGCAGTTCTAGGAAAGAGGGGATACTAGAGATTTAGAACAGTGTAAAAATGGAGCAGGTGTTACGTTTCACCTGATTGTATGCATGTGTGCACAGGAACAAATCCAAAGTAAACAGAAGCAGATTCAAAGCACTGTCGTTCTGGCCACGAACAGCAGCATTTGCTGCAGATGCTCAGCTCTAATACTAAAGCTGTTTCTTGAGGCAAACCAATATCTCACTCCTTTTTTCGAGACTTCAGATAAGCATATGCTGATTGTTCGGTTGCAGAGTGACTTTGCTTGTCTATTAATTAGATTTAATTGTTAAATGACTGCTTTGAACAACAGAGCAGCTCGCTAACTCCAAAGCTATACAGTGCAGTCCAACGTGGGGCAAGGGCAGTTATCCTCCCACCAAGAGCCCTGCTGATTTGCTCTGAACAGGGCCCATACAATGTTCATCTCTTAAGTGGCCTTTACAAAAGGTGGTTCTCTCTCTAAAGAGTCATATAGCTGTCAGAGAAGAAAACAGGGTGGGTTAGTTGCCCCTCAGCCAGAAAATCAAGGGCAGACTAAGGAGGGATACAAATTGCTTGGCCTCTGTCTTGGCTTTCTGCAGACAGTGAGTTGCTTTGTGTTTCTATTTAAATCAATTTACTTTCAAAGTGTGCATCCTTTCTTTAAGTTAACATATGCTCGCAGTGGGCAAACTGATGTGTTTTTTAATCAACCTTTTTGGAAAACTTCTTTCTTTCCTTCCTTCCT